AAATCCTCATTTGGGAATTTTCAGCACTAAAGTTTACGGTACGAGTACGTCTACACCGCTATTTTTAAAAAACGATATTGTGGATAACTAATCCTCATTACATGTTTTCAATGCTTTGCTCCTTCATGCTCAATAGCCATTGCCGTATCATAAATACAGTATGGAACCAGAACGCGACAATCACTCATTAACCTGAATGGTCTGGGCCTTCACCCAATGAAGGCCCAGACCTCACCCCTTCACTTCCTTCGTAGCGCAGGTAGGACAAGTAATCATTTTTCCTCCATTTACAATAGTCAAAGGTAAGAGATTTGAAAACTAACATTTCACATTAATTTCAGTGTAAGAGATGTTAAACAATAATGTAAGATATTAGCCGGTCAGCGTTTGGACACGTGGCATGGACGTGGCCTTAGGTCAAAGGCGCCCGCGAGCCGCCAAAAGGGCTTTTATGTCGCGCCGCGCGATCGCGACGCAATTCTTTGAAGACATGCCGATTTACCGGCGATGACCAAATTCGGACGTCCAACGGTCAGTCTCGTCCGGACCCCCATTACCCCCGAACCGCATACATATATATTTCAACTCTGCCTTCTGCACTTACCCTGAATCCCGGCCATCCCCTTACAATAACTGTTGTTGACAAAAAAAAATAAAAACGCTCTAAAATTATATTTATATACATTTCACGTTAAAATATTTGTAAACTGCTTTTAGAACATTTGCAAATAAATATAAAGCATTGTTATGTATGTAGTTAGATTTTGGAAAAAAATAATGCAGAAAAAAAATTTTGTTTCATTTCTTATACAGGGTGTCCCGTAAATAGTGTAAGAAACGGAAATGGGGGGTAGGTGAGACAATTCTAAGCAACAATTTCCTTTGCAAAAATGTCGGATGGGGCTTCGTTTTTGAATTATTAACGAAAAACACTGACCAATCACGGCGCTCGCCTTCCGCGCGCTCAGGGCCGTCCGACCTCGGAGAGCCACCGCGCCGGGTAGGTAGCAAGATGCGCGTTGAAAATACATCGAGGAACGAGTACAAATAATTAAAAATACTACCACTGCAACTGTTACCTAATTCGTAAATTACTACGTAATTAGTACGTAAATTACTAAATGGAATTTACTTTTTATTAATTATTTGTATTCGCTGTTTCCAAGGAAGAAGGAATAAAATCTCGGAATTTTTAGAAAATTAACCCTTCGCACCCGAGTGACGCTTCTCGCCAGAGTGTTTTAAAATTAAAATAAGAATTATTATCAGAAAATTAAAATAAATGCGGTAAGAACCATTTGTAACCGTTTGTTATTAAAAACTGTACTGAAAAAGCAGACTGGATTTCTGCGTACCGAAACATTCCTCGAATGCAAAGGGTTAATAGAGAAATAATTGAAATTCGACTTACCCATTCATCTGCAAGTTGACCTACTGCGCTGACAATAGGGCCCGGCCAATGCACCGCTGTCGATCACAGCAAGGTCGAAGACCCGAACGAAAATCAGCTGATGGGCCAGCCCGGTCACTGTACCTGCTTCTCACCCCGAAAACACTTCACAGCACGGTCACTAACAATTTTCACTTTCACTTTTCACTTTCGCATACCGATGCGTTCCGTTGCACCCTTCTTCGGTTGTTGCTTCTTCCTGGGTTGATAACGGTGCCTGGATGTTGCTCCCTCCTGAATTGTTACTCCTTCCTGAATTGTTGTTGCTCCCTGAATTGTTGTTCCTTCCTGGATTGTTGCTTCTTCGAACCTTGCTCCCTTCAGGATTGTTGTTCCTTTTCGCTGGGATAATGGGCACGATACGTGCGGGCGGCTTTCTTCGCGTTCCCCTTGGAGTCCGCGAAAACGAAGAACGTACGATAATACTCTGCGTTTACGCGTTCCATCGCGTGCGTCCGCTTCTGTTCAGAAACGCGTAGGTTCTGTGAAAAATTTTGACTGACAAATTGCATTTCCCTCCCCGAAAAAGTTCCAGGTAAGGCAACCTATTGTCGCGCGATTCGGAATTACCTGCGATCGGCGAACGTGCAGACCATGCTTTTGCCGTGTATCGCACAAAGCCAAACGTCTCTTCGGCTAGTTGACCCTGGCGGAGTTATTTTTTTATTACTGCAAAACTGCCGCAAATGTTTGCTGCTAACCGTGCGTTCGACTCTTCTATTCGAATTTTTATGATTCACCGTGAATATTTTTGTACACTAAACATATTTAATTGTACAACAAAAATATTTAACGAAAATATTAAAAAATATTTCTTCTTGGAATTTTTATTTCAGAAATAAAAACTAGAAGAAATATTATTTAATATTTTTGTTAAATATTTTTGTTTTTTGTTGCTCCAATATTTTTTATTATCGCATATTATCTATTATGTAACTGCCTCCTTCTTTGTGGATTATTTTTTATAAACAATACCTTTTTATTTTATACTCTTAAAATTTAAAAGCATGGAATTTTTCATGGTATATTCTTCTTTCTTTTTTATAACAAATTTTCCATGAAAAAATATTCACGGTGAATCTTAAAAATTCTATTAGAAGAGTCGACCGTACGGTTTAGCAGCAAGCATTTGCGACAAACATGGTCTGCACCTTCGCCGATCGCAGGTAACTCCGAATCGCGCGACAATGGGTTGCCTTACCTGGAACTTTTTCGGGGAGGGAAATGCAATTTGTCAGTCAAAATTTTTCACAGAACCTACGCGTTTCTGAACAGAAGCGGACGCACGCGATGGAACGCGTAAACGCAGAGTATTATCGTTCGTTCTTCGTTTTCGCGGACTCCAAGGGGAACGCGAAGAAAGCCGCCCGCACGTATCGCGCCCATTATCCCAGCGAAAAGGAACAACAATCCTGAAGGGAGCAAGGTTCGAAGAAGCAACAATCCAGGAAGGAGCAACAATTCAGGGAGCAACAACCATTCAGGAAGGAGTAACAATTCAGGAGGGAGCAACATCCAGGCACCGTTATCAACCCAGGAAGGAGCGACAATCGAAGAAGAGTGCAACGGAACGCATCGGTATGTGAAAGTGAAAAGTGTTAGTGACCGTGCTGTGAAGTTTTTTCGGGGTGAGAAGCAGGTACAGCGATCGGGCCATCCCATCAGCTGATTTTCGTTGGGGTTTTTGACCTTGCTGTGACCGACAGCGGTGCATTGGCCGGGCCCTATTGTCAGCGCAGTAGGTCAACTTGCAGATGAATGGGTAAGTCGAATTTCAATTATTTCTCTATTAACCCTTTGCATTCGAGGAATGTTTCGGTACGCAGAAATCCAGTCTGCTTTTTCAGTACAGTTTTTAATAACAAACGGTTACAAATGGTTCTTACCGCATTTATTTTAATTTTCTGATAATAATTCTTATTTTAATTTTAAAACACTCTGGCGAGAAGCGTCACTCGGGTGCGAAGGGTTAATTTTCTAAAAATTCCGAGATTTTATTCCTTCTTCCTTGGAAACAGCGAATACAAATAATTAATAAAAAGTAAATTCCATTTAGTAATTTACGTACTAATTACGTAGTAATTTACGAATTAGGTAACAGTTGCAGTGGTAGTATTTTTAATTATTTGTACTCGTTCCTCGATGTATTTTCAACGCGCATCTTGCTACCTACCCGGCGCGGTGGCTCTCCGAGGTCGGACGGCCCTGAGCGCGCGGAAGGCGAGCGCCGTGATTGGTCAGTGTTTTTCGTTAATAATTCAAAAACGAAGCCCCATCCGACATTTTTGCAAAGGAAATTGTTGCTTAGAATTGTCTCACCTACCCCCCATTTCCGTTTCTTACACTATTTACGGGACACCCTGTATAATTCTGCCTAGTGTACAAACATTAAACAGTCTAGAAAACACTCATATATTGAAGAATTCATAAAAATTCAACGTGTAAGTTATTCCAATACGCAGAAAATGAGGAAAAAATCGGTTTTTATTTTTTTTCACTGCGGCGCACCAGAATGAAAAATCTGAAAAAAATTGAGAATAATAGTAACAACAATACCTGTTTACTATAAAAGTATAAAAGTAATTCCGGACCTTCTTCAATACGTAATCGGCATTTTTCGACATTTTTTATTTTTTACTACCTAGTTCTTCAATCAAAAAATCTGAAAATCTCCTAAAATATGTGCCCCGGTACAAGAAATGTCTCTGTATTGTTTTACATTTTTTTACTTAATAGGTCAACAGAAATTGTACAAAAACATGATTTTCGTTTTCACGACATTATTACCCCCACGGTCGAGATTTCAAGTTAAAAATTTGCATACAGAGTTTGTTTTGGATAAGCTATCGAATGACGAGGGATGTGTCCGATATAAACATATGTATATAATCAATTCATTTTCGGTAATTATTTAGTGTTCAACGCGTACACTTAACTTATTGGATCGGTGATACGCTTTAAGCGGTAACTTAATACCGCTTAAATATTTGTGGTTGGTGCAAGTATTGAAAGGCAATTAACTATGTTGAAATTTATTAATCTATACAGTGCGGTCTTTTTTTTGTTCCGTGTCTCTTGAGTTACTTGTTAAGACTGCTGGTCGGCGATCGGGGCCCTGTACTATATAGTCCTGGTTCCGATCGTCTTTTGGTTGTCCCTCGCGCCGGGTGCAAAAGTTCTCGGCTCGTCCCACGAGGACCGAGAACATTCCGCGACACGTGCAGTCGATCGATTTTGCACCCAGCCCGAATCAGTTGCACACGGCACTGTTTCTTTGGACCTCAAGACGGGCGTACATGGGTCCCTTTATAATTAATATTGTTACCATGTAACATGCTGCCCGCCTTGAACGATCCGCGTTCAAATTGAAGTAGTTAGTTAAAGTAATGAGCACGAATCTGATTCTTAAACAATTAACATGTGTAATGATTAGCATAATGATTAATAATGAGATTATGACTAATTAATAGTTAATTAATGCAATCATAAATGATTATAAATGGTTACTAGAACTAGTAATACAATAACAAAGACATGAATAAGATAGTAATTAATCTTCTACAGGAATATCAATCGGTAAGGGGCATAGATTCTTTATACATCGTTTATACGTTCCGCGACTTGTTTTCACGGTTGCCACACGAACGATTTTGTCTTTGCCAGGATGAGTAGTTATGATGCGACCCATGCTCCAGTGCATAGGTGGGACATTCTCTTCTTTCATCATAACAAGTGTTCCAATTTTTATTTTTTCAGGATCACCTTTGCGCCACTTACTACGCAGCAGTAATTCATTAAAGTACTCTTTATACCATCTGTTCCAAAAATGTTGTTTCACCTTCCCAATGTGTTGCCACAATGACAATCTGTTTGCTGGTATATCTTGAAAGTGGTGTTCTGGTATGCTCATTAAAGAATCTCCAATCAAAAAATGAGCTGGGGTAAGGACCGACATATCATTAGGATCAGAGGATAATGGAATTAGAGGACGGGAATTTAAGATTGATTCAATTTCGATTATAAATGTATTAAGCTGTTCGTATGTGAACAATGAGTCGCCAACGGTACGATATAAATGGTGCTTGAATTGTTTTACACCTGCCTCCCATAAGCCTCCAAAGTGAGGTGAACGCGGTGGTGAAAAATGCCAGTTAACTCCTTCATTTGCTAATTTGTACATAATTCTATCATTATGATTTGCAGATAATAATAGTGCCCTGACATTTAACAGTTCATTCTTTGCTCCTACAAAATTTGTTGCGTTATCGGAATAAAGATTTTTTGATTTGCCCCTGCGAGCGAAAAACCGTTTAATTGCTGCTATGCATGTCTCAGTAGTTAAATCTGTAACTAATTCTAAATGTATAGCCTTGGTTGAAAAGCAAACAAATACAACTACATATGATTTTAATTTTATTTTATTTCTAAATTTCTTCTCCTTTATAAAAAACGGACCACAGTAATCTAGTCCAGTATTTTCGAAAGGTCGAGTTTGTATTAACCGATTTTTAGGTAGTGGACCCATTAAATAGTTTGGTGGCTTAGGATTTACCTTGTAACATGCAATGCATTTATGTATGATATATCGAGTTCTATTTTTGCCGTCAATAGGCCAATAATGTTGTCTTACAATTGCTAATGTATTTTGCACTCCTGGATGCCAATGTTTTGTATGTGCATGTCGTATTATTATATCAGTCACATGATTGCTTCTGGGTAATAAAATTGGATGCTTGTGTGAATAATTTATATTGGCATTGGTCAACCTACCGCCTACGCGAAGAACTCCGAATTCATCGATAAAAGGATTCAATCTCAGCAACTTGCTATGTTTATTTAATTCATTGCCCTTTGTTAAACATTGGAATTCCTGTTGGAATTCCCTTTCTTGAATTACCTTTATTACTTGTAAATGTGCATCTTGTAACTCTTTTACTGTGAATTCACCCTTGATTTTATTGTTTGACCTTTTATTTTTAATTGCTCGGCGACAAAGAGCAACAAAACGATTCAAAGTAATAATAGATGAGAATCGTTCGAAGGTATCATTATGAATATTATCCCCTTTTTTTTGTTTTATATTGTTATAATTTTGTTCTGTAGTAATCAACGTCACATTGTGTTGTTGTTCTATGTTATGGTTCGTTGATATTTTCGTGATTTTCCAAAGAGATTCATCCTTAGAAAGCCACATAGGTCCGTTAATCCAGCATGTATTTTGAATAAACTCTGAAGGAGTTTGACCGCGAGAAATATAATCAGCAGGATTATCGTGTGTTGATATGTGATACCAATTATTCTTATCAGTGAGCGTTTGAATTTCAGAGACACGGTTTGCTTCAAAAGTTTTCAAAGTATGAGGTGATGTTTTAAGCCAATTTAGTGTGATACTTGAGTCAGAATAAAAATTAGTTTTGCTGAATTGTAGGTGTAATGCGTCTGCTACGGATTTATACAAATTTGCTAATAATTTGGCAGCACACAGTTCTAACCTAGGTATAGAGATTGTTTTGATAGGAGCGACGCGTGACTTTGCGCATAATAGCCCTACGAAATGATTATTAAAGTTATCAGTGGATCTTAGATAAATACAGGCACCATAGCCCCTTTCACTGGCGTCACAAAAGCCATGTAAATGTAATTCTACTGAATTATTTAATATAACCTTACGAAGCACTGAGAAATTATTTAGTATTGGTAACTGCCTTTTAAAATTGACCCATTCAGTATGTAACGACTGTGGAATTGATTCGTCCCAAATTAGGTTTGCTTTCCATAGTTCCTGCATAATTAGTTTAGCCTGAATTATTACGGGCCCTAATAAACCCAAAGGATCGAAAAGCTGGGCAATTTCGGACAGAATTGTTCTTTTCGAAATCGTTCTTTGTTCAGCAAAGGGTTTTACGTTATAACTAATAGTATCAGTATCTGGATCCCACTGTATTCCGAGAACCTTTTTTGTTTCATTGGCGTCTAAACATACGAGCTGAGATGTAGAGGAATTCTTTAGTTCCTTTAAAAGCTTTGGCTCATTTGACAGCCACTGGCGTAAATTAAAACCTCCTGAATTTAGTAATTTAATTAACTGATCTATTAAAAGCCGGGCTTGATTCAGATCATTTGTTCCAGTGAGCAGATCATCGACATAAAAATCACGATCAAGTATTGCTGCAGCTAATGGATATTTATGTCCTTCGTCTTTTATTAATTGTTTTAAACAACGAACCGCGAGAAATGGAGCTGAAGTAGTCCCATAAGTGACCGTGTTTAAGGCGTAAGTTTTGATGGGTTCATGTTTATTTTCACGCCAAAAGATTTTTTGGAATTTTGCATCATCTGGGTGTACTTGAATTTGCCGAAACATTTTTTCAATGTCGGCTGTTAATACAAATTGATGAGTACGAAAACGCATAATTATAGAAATCAGGTCGTCTTGAATTGTAGGACCCTGCATTAATGTATCGTTTAGTGAAAGAGTGGATGATGTTTTTGCAGATCCATCAAAGACTACTCGAATTTTTGTGGTCGCGCTTGATTCCTTTATTACCGCATGATGCGGTAAATAATAACCTATGTGTAGATCATCTGTATTGGTTATGTCAGTCATATGTTTCAACTCTATATACTCCTTTAAGAATGCACTATATTGTTTTTTTAATTCTGGACTCGATTCTAACCGTTTTTCTAGAGAATAAAAACGTTTTAAAGCCATCCTATGTGATTCTCCGATACCATCCCTTTTCTCATTAAATGGCAATCGTACCGTATATCTTCCGTTCGAATTCCGATCAATATTTTGTATAAAATGTGTTTCACATGCTAACTCTTCGCTAGAAAGGTGTTTTTTATTAGGCAATTCTTCGATCTCCCAAAATTGACTTAGTTGTTTTTCAAGGGTAGTTGTCAAAAGACATGTTTTCGTCTTGTTTGACTGGTTATTGTAAAGATTAACTTCTCCTGTTACAATCCATCCAAGTCGAGTTTTTTGCAATATTACTGAATTATTGCACAATTTAATTTGACCTACACTTAACAATTGATAAAATAGAGTGTTGCCGAGTAAAGCATCAATCTCGGCAGATTTATGGAAATTCGGGTCAGCTAACGCAATATTTTTAGGAATAAATAAATTATCCTTGTCAATTTTTCGATAAGGCAATAAACCAGTTATGTTAGGTAAAGCTACTAAGGTTAAATCGCATGAAAATGGAGTTGTTCGAGATTTAATAGTTGTTTTGACCGTATATTGTGCCTTAGTTAGATTTTGCCCTAAACCTGAAAATGGTGAGTCTATTCTCGTTTTATCTAATCTTAAACGATCAGCTAACCTTTCCGTTATAAAATGCGTTTGTGAACCTCCGTCTAAAAGTACTCTACACGGAAATTCATTCTTGTCCTTATCCAAAATCTTAATGTAGGCTGTTCCTAACAATACTTCCGACTCGGATGATACCACTAGATTTACTGGTGGTTGTTCTTCTCTATTCTGAATGTTTGATTCGACAGTGTTGTTTATGGAATTCTGATTACGCGCCTTGTGTGTTTCGTTAAAATGCAAAAGCGTATTATGCTTGTAATTGCATTTCTTACAACCACTAAGATAGCATTTGCTTGTTTGATGATTATTTTTTAAGCAATTTAGACAAAGTTTTGCCTTTCGAGCTAATTCGAAACGTCCTTTTTCATTTGTTTGTAAAAATTTACTACATGTGTAGATTGTATGATTTTGACCGCAGATAGGGCATTGAATCTGCACTTGTGTACCTACGTGCGATTGAATATGATTAGCTCGTTTTTTATATGGCATTTTTGAATTGTAATTGTTATGTTGTGTGTTTGATTTATTCGCGTCAAAGGAAATTGTGTCGAGTTCATCACCCCGTGCTTGTTTGCCGAGAAACTTTAATAATTGTTGAAAAGCCGGCATTTCCTCGTCCTCTAACGTACGTTCCCACGCTCGACGCGTGCCCTTATCCAATTTCTTGATTATTACGTAAACGAGTAACGCATCCCACTGATCAACCGGTTGATTTAAAGCCTTTAAAGCGTTTATGTGAACCTGTGCCTTTTCTACCAAAGAACGTAGATTGGCAGGAGTTTCGCGATAAACTTCTGGAAGTTCCAATAACAATTGTAAGTGAGTTTGAATGATCTGGCGCGGTTTGTTGCATCTTTGTTTTAAAATATTCCAAGCCACCAAATAATTTTCTTCCGAAGCATTTAAATTTTCCGTTATTGAAGTTAATGGGCCTTGAAGTGCATTTTGCAATAAATAGAATTTGTGAACTGGTATCAACTCATCATTATCATGCACTAAATTTTTGAAAGTGTCATGAAAACTGTACCAATTCACAAGATTTCCATCAAAGGGACGGATCTCTATTTTTGGCAGAAGATTGTTGGTTTGTTTTATAGTTATCGGCGAAGCAGAATGCGAAGCTAAATTTGATGTGCTAGCTACCGGCAGGGCCACTGAATTGATTTCGCGAAGTCGCATACTTATTAATTTAGCGCACGCAAAATATTGATCATCAAACTGCGATCGTTGAGTTTCATGATCCATATTTGTTTGATTTTCTTTCTCTGCTACAATTTCAATTTGTAATTGAGCTTTTGAGAAGGCTTCGTAGGCTTCTTCTAATTTTGCTTTGCGGTTCTGAATTTCGTCCATTTCCGAATCCGGGTGGGCATTGAAATATGTTATTAACCGCGTAACGTTTGCTTTAATAGCTGTTCGAGTTTTAATTAATGTTTTTAAATTTTCTGACAACGCCATTTTTCAAAAGAATAATCGAAATCGAATCGGTTGAATTATAATGGATGTTATAGATAAGGATTGATTGAATGGAGATTTTTGAGCTTACTCGAGCGTTGACTTCTGCAATGGCGCTGTTACTTTCTTCCTTGTTGAATTATTAGATGATGATATGTCGACTCGATGAATGTTGAACTGATTGTCCAGGTGAATGAAATCCCACGTTCCGTCGCTGCTCTCGTGGCTGCTTCTCAATGATGTCCGTTACGTAAGTTGATGATGAATGTGTTGTTGAACTGATTGTTCACCAACAAATACTCCGACGTCTGCTCTCCGAATGGGTTGTCCGCTCAGCACGTGTTGTAAGATTGTTGAATATGATTGTTTAATAACAATACTCCGACGGCTGCTCTCCGAATGGATTGTCCGCTCAGAATACAATCTTACTGATTTTGTTGTGTAGTTCAATGCACTGCGCTAAGCACCGATAGATTGTTTATTGAGTGTTCTTATAATTAACTGCACTTGCACCAATATATTCTTCAATGTTTAGAATCTTTACTATAGTAATAAAGAATCCGGCTCGAAGGACCATGTTCAACGCGTACACTTAACTTATTGGATCGGTGATACGCTTTAAGCGGTAACTTAATACCGCTTAAATATTTGTGGTTGGTGCAAGTATTGAAAGGCAATTAACTATGTTGAAATTTATTAATCTATACAGTGCGGTCTTTTTTTTGTTCCGTGTCTCTTGAGTTACTTGTTAAGACTGCTGGTCGGCGATCGGGGCCCTGTACTATATAGTCCTGGTTCCGATCGTCTTTTGGTTGTCCCTCGCGCCGGGTGCAAAAGTTCTCGGCTCGTCCCACGAGGACCGAGAACATTCCGCGACACGTGCAGTCGATCGATTTTGCACCCAGCCCGAATCAGTTGCACACGGCACTGTTTCTTTGGACCTCAAGACGGGCGTACATGGGTCCCTTTATAATTAATATTGTTACCATGTAACATTTAGGAAAGGTCGGGTCTCAAAGATTTCGATGATTTTTGAATATGTTGTAGAAATCAACATCTTGAGCAACTTTTTCCTATACATATAACCACCGCTCGGCCTTAGTTTCCGAGATTTTTCTTCACAAATATCGCTGTTACTACAATGAATTCTATCTACACTTACGTGCCTGTTATATACAGGGTGTTCGGCCACCTCTAGCAAACATTTTAATGAGCGATAGTAGAGGCAAAATAAGACGAAAATCAAGTATACTAATTTGTTGATGGAGGCTTCGTTACAAAGTTATTAACATTTAAAGTTCCGCCTGAATCATGGCAACCATCGAGCATATGCGTAAGCGTGAGAGGTCAGGAGACGATGTATTACAGGAACCGAGCTTACCTACTTATCGATCGCCTTTCGTGTCTGCGTCAACTCTCAGGACGGCGAACGTGGTACGTTGAATGAAATCCGACAGCCCCTCGTTTTTGCGTCAACTCCCAGGAAGGTGAACGCATATCGTCGAATAGGATTCAACCTGTCTTATGAACATCCAGAGGGGCATATCAATACTCGCCCGACAAGATGTTCACAGAGAGAGGGTGAATGCCTCTTTTAACACACACATTTTTTTTTGTATAAAAATCACCCACACGCAAGCATACACGCATCGCGATTGTCCCGTCCGCGAATGTCCACGTGTATGTGCACCACGATTGTCCCGACCGCGAGTGTCCACAAGTAAATACTTTTCGACGAGCACCACTATGCAATTAAATAATACACGCGCACCGCGATTGTCCCGTCCGCGAGTGTCCACGTGTCCACGTTTTCTCGTTCCGCGCCGCGCACTACACAACACAAACCGCATACCACACACTACACTGCACTACACAACACTACACAACACAACTTAATATAAACCGCGGATTTCGATTCCACGCACTATCGCGCAATAAAAAAGTAAAACTGGAAAAAAATTTATAATTAGTAAATCTGATTAATGACTGAATATTAATTCAGATTGTAGAGTTCGAGAGCTATTGAATGTCCGTATTCGTTGGCGACTGCCTTCGAAATGAGAAAAGACAAACGATGACGAGTGGCGAGAAAAGCAGACACATTATTAAAGTGTCGAACGCGGGGCCTACGAAGCATACATTGTAAAGCCCCGACATTTTTACTTTCCGACTTATGTAGGCATAAGTACGATAATGGAAAAAAATGTCCAGAATTTTGTTTACAGAAATACACGTTTTAAAACTCCCCGATCATAAATATTTCTTTTTACTTAATATTTGTTATTGGAAATTGTTACAATGTATGCTTCGTAGGCCGCGCGTTCGGCACTTTAATAATGTGTCTGCTTTTCTCGCCACTCGTCATCGTTTGTCCTTTCTCATTTCGAAGGCAGTCGCCAACGAATACGGACTGTAGCGGCCATTGTATAGCCACTACACCCTTGCCAGAGTATGAATGGGAATGGAATGTAAGGATAGTTTTAAGCTTTCTATTTTTCCATTTTCCCAGGGTCTCGTGCGAGCCTGGTCGTCCTGTTAAACATTTGGCGACCAGAGCCGTGCGAGGCGTCTGTTTTCCTTCAAGGTTTCGCCTGGGCCTCGGATCACCCTGATCCGGGCCCGGTGAGCCTCTTGACTTTTATGACTCTTTTTCGCTAAACTTTTCTATACACTGAGTATTTTCCAGTTTCGTTTTTCCGTCTTTTTGTCCTGTCTCTTTTTCTCTACCTTTGCTATTAGGGTAAGAAATTGTATACTCATTTCGAAGGCAGTCGCCAACGAATACGGACATTCAATAGCTCTCGAACTCTACAATCTGTATTAATATTCAGTCATTAATCAGATTTACTAATTATACATTTTTTTCCAGTTTTACTTTTTTATTGCGCGATAGTGCGTGGAATCGAAATCCGCGGTTTATATTAAGTTGTGTTGTGTAGTGTTGTGTAGTGCAGTGTAGTGTGTGGTATGCGGTTTGTGTTGTGTAGTGCGCGGCGCGGAACGAGAAAACGTGGACACGTGGACACTCGCGGACGGGACAATCGCGGTGCGCGTGTATTATTTAATTGAATAGTGGTGCTCGTCGAAAAGTATTTACTTGTGGCATTCGCGGACGGGACAATCGCGATGCATGTATGCTCGTGTGTGGGTGATTTTTATACAGAAAAAAATGTGTGTGTTAAAAGAGGCATTCACCCTCTCTCTGTGAACATCTTGTCGGGCGAGTATTGATATGCCCCTCTGGATGTTCATAAGACAGGTTGAATCCTATTCGACGATATGCGTTTACCTTCCTGGGAGTTGACGCAAAAACGAGGGACTGTCGGATTTCATTCAACGTACCACGTTCGCCGTCCTGAGAGTTGACGCAGACACGAAAGGCGATCGATAAGTCGGTAAGCTCGGTTCCTGTAATACATCGTCTCCTGACCTCCCACGCTTACGCATATGCTCGATGGTTGCCATGATTCAGGCGGAACTTTAAATGTTAATAACTTTGTAACGAAGCCTCCATCAACAAATTAGTATACTTGATTTTCGTCTTATTTTGGCCTCTACTATCGCTCATTAAAATTTTTGCTAGAGGTGGCCGAACACCCTGTATATACGACTCGCCGATTGTTGACAAAAAATCTGCAGTATGTATACGACTCGCCGATTGTTTATTGTTTCTATAGATACATCGAGGCGGCCGGCAATGAATGCGTATAACAGCTGTGCTTAAAAACTCGATTTGTGTAGTCGGCCGCCTGACGGCGGCCACGCATTCATTTTCTATTTCAATTTTCTTTATTGATATTATCAGAAGTGGGAAAGATTTCAGCCATTATTTCGACAAATTTAATTATTAGATCATTAGCATGATATTGTCGACGGAAGAAGAATTCACCTAAATAGCCTACATAATGTATTTGGCGAGTTCCATACTTCAGAATATTCGAACCTTTGACAACAATGCAGAAGTAGATTTAGCTCGACACATTATACATTATTTGTCGTCGGTTGTCATGCCGACTAATACAAACAAGAGAAAAAAGCAACGATCGTGGACTGATGCAATACAGAGCCACAGATATGTACATATAGACAGAATTCATTGTAGTAGTAGCGATCTTTTTGAAGAAAAATCTTGGAAACTAAGGCCGAGAGGCGGTTATATGTATAGGAAAAAGTTGTTCAAAATGTTGATTTCTACAACATATTCAAAAATCATCGAAATCGGTGAGACCCGGCCTTTTCTAAATAATTACCTCATTTTCTTTCAATAATTCTCCATTGCATAAATTCTACAGTATTCTTACATTTTTTTATATTTTAAAATTTTCTCATGTTATTAGAAAGTAGATATACAACGAAAGTTATACAATTTATAGTTCCTAGCATGTATAACATGTATATGTATATAACGCATGGTCGCTTCGTATGGAAAGTCAATGAATCTTCAAAAAGCGCCCAGGTCCGATTTCGAGAAATGTAAGGTCTGTCAGTCACGATGGCTTTTGTCGTTTACTGACGATTCGAACGGTTGGCGATGCCAGGCTTGCTTTCAAGAAATGTAAACGACGTCAGCGATGCAAGAGCGAGAAGGAAAGCGAGTATCAGCCTGTTCTTCTCGGCTCTTCCGAAACTCAACGAGCTCACGTACACGCAATTGAGCATAGTGTGCGAAAGCGAGGAATGAGGAGTTTCCGGGGCCCCGATGCACAATCTGATTAAACTGATTTCGAGTCGCAAATACGTTTCTGCCGAGTTATTTTTTTAATAAATGATGTATTACAATTTAAAATAAAAAATAGAGAATTTGCGGTGTACGTATCAATGAAATACATCCTTATGAATTTTAATAATCTTGAAATTTTTAAATACTCTTAATCGATTGATTTCTCCAATGAAATTAA